TTCAACCAGATACATGATTCTTTACCATAAATACACAGGTTACTACCCCAAAAGGCTTGTAATTTGAAACCTGAAGGAGCCGGGAGGGGGGTGATGAAAAATGAACATGGAAGAACATGCACTTCTTTTGATTGGGTGTATTTTGAACTAAGCTGCACAATAAACAACTGGAATTGGAAACATAGGTTGAGCATCCCTTACCTGGGATTGCGAAATCCCAAATATTCCAAAGTCTGAAAATGTTCATATGAGTGACTAAGATGGTGACACTTTGGTTTCTAATAGTTCAGTATACACAAACTTTGTTTCATTCACATCATTAAAAAAATTATGTACAAAATTACCTTCAGGCTATGTGTGAAAGATGTACAGAAATAAATTTAATGTTTAGACTTGGATTCCATCTCCAAGATATTTATTATTCATGTATATGCTAGCACAGTTATTATAAAAACAAAACAAAAAATCCAACATCTAAAACATATCAGGTTCCAAACATTTTGAATAAGGGATATTCAACCTGTACAGGAAATCTTACTCTAATCTGCTTCTGCCATACATGAATTGACCTCTGGAAGTTTGATGGAAGCATCAAAATGACAGCTCTCTTTACAAGTAGTAGAACATTAGAAATAGATGTGACTTATCCAAGACATATTGAAACCCATCAGAGACGTTATAAAGAGACTACAATAAAAGTTTGGGTCTACAAGACTGCATCTGATAACAATAAATGCTATATATAATATCCACTATCCCAATAAAACATTTTGAAGGAGTGTTTTGAGACAAACCAGGCCAAGAAAGCAAAGAGAGGTCAAAGGAAGAAGTTACCATTCAGCTTGGGAGACCTGGATTCATTGCCCAATGGGTCTATACTACACCACGGGTTCACAGACACCTATTCTTAATGTCACCCTAACAGTAACCTACAAGATGTTGTAAGGAAAACAAAACAGAAAAACACTCTCCAAATTAACATGCCATGCAAGCTAAACAGCAATTATACTAACTGATAAGAGTGATGCTCTGTCTCCTTCTTCTCCATTTATAGCAGTTCTTCCCATGACTTTTACAGGCACATCGGTACACTGTAATCGAATTCAGCATTTCATAAGACTGGGACTACATTCCTGTATAACAAATTACCTAGCTTACTTCTAGATTGGCATACATGAATGTATGCTGTGGATGTAAAAACAAAATAAGAACAGCACTACATTTTTTTGGCTTGACCATAAACTCTAAATCTCCCCTTAGAAGCAATCTCATTTTTCAACATCAAAAGAAAACGCATTAATGCATTCCTTCTTTACATGTCCCAATTTAATCTAGTATATCTTCTCTTTGCAAAATGCCCCCCTCCACAAAGAATCATCTGAAAATAAGATTCATTTCATTTCACAGCTCTTTTAAAATAGCACATTGCTACCCTAAAGTTCTCACCTCTTAAAATAATCCCATCACATTCTGCTGTGTAATCAGCGTGACAGTATCCTTGTTCCCAACACAGAAGTCATTCGCTAAGTAACAAACCCATTTGTCCTCTGAAGGGCTATTTGACTTCAGCAGAGCTAAGCAGGGACACGAAAGGAAGGTCATTTTAACCCTCTCCTTTCCAGTACAGCTTAGCATTTACTCATATATGGAGCACCTGCACAGTAGTTGCACAGTGTACAACCCACCTCATATTCATGATCTAGGTGTTAACCTGACAACAATCTTGAAAAATACATCAACCTCATTATTTTTCTGGTGGAGCCCCCAGTGGTGCAGTGGGTTAAACCCTTGTGCCGGCAGGACAGAAGACTGCAGGTTTGAATCTGGGGAAAGTGCGGATGAGTTTCCTGTCAGCTCCGACTCCCCATGCTGGGACATGAGAGAAGCCTTCCACAAGGATGATAAAACATCAAAACATCCTGGTGGCCCCTGGGCAACGTCCTTGCAGACAGCCAGTTCTCTCACACCAGAAGTGACTTGCAGTTTCTCAAATCGCTCCTGACATGAAAAAAAATCTGTATTACAAATATGCTCTTCTAAATCCTGGATCATTTTTTCCATATTTTTCTCTTTATTATTTTAACCAGTGCAGTACAATATATATGCTACATCATTAAATTGTGATTACAGTCAGCCATCCATATCCATAGTTTCTGCACCCACAGATTCAACCATACATGGCTTGAAAATATTTCTTTTAAAAATCCAAAAACCAAACCTTGATTTTGCCATTTTATATCAGGGACAACATTTGACTACATCCTTGCTTATAATGGGACTTGAGCATCCATGGATTTTGGTAACCAAATCCCAGTGGATACCACAGGCTCAATGCATATTTTGGATTTGCAGGTTGCGGAAAAAGTTAAATTTCTTGATGAGGGAGCGTACCATGAATGTACAACCTAATAAATAGCCTACTTGTTACCTAGTGCATTTTCAATATTGAGGTGTGTCCCTGTCTTTCCTTTTCCACAACCAATTTACAGTTCCCATGCTAAACTGAGCAAGGACGTCCCAGTGACAAAAGAGGTGTTTCATGTTCACTTTCTCCTGTCTCTCCTGTCCTTTGCCCAAAACCAAGACTTACATTTGCCATGCTGAACTGGGTGGGAATGTAAGCCTTGGTTTGGGACAAAGGGCAATAGACAGAAGCATTTCATGTTGCTTACACTTGTCCTTTGCCCCAAACCAAAGCTTACATTTCCCATATTCAACTGGGCAAGGAAATAGACATTTCATGCTCCCTTTCTCCTGGCCAAAGCTTACATTTTTCATGCAGAATTGGGCAACGACATCCCAGTGATAAAAGAGACATTTCATGTTCACTTTCTCCTCTCTCTTGCACAAAGCCAAAGTGTACATTTTGCATGCTCAACTGGGCACGGATGCCCTAGCGACCGAAGAGGTATTTCAGGTTCACTTCCTGAACCTTCACTTTGCCCCAAACCAAAGTTGACACTTAACCATGCTGAACTAGGCTAGTGTCTCCTAAACTGTCTAAGGGCCCTTCCAGACAGGCCCTATATCCCAAGATCTGATCCCAAGTTTTCTGTTTATCCCAGATTATCTGGCAGTGTGGACTCATATCATCCAGTTTAAAGCAGAAAAGCTGGGATCCTGGTGGCACAGCAGTTAAACGCTGAGCTGTGGAACTTGCTGACCGAAAGGTTGACTGTTAGAATTCAGAAAGCAGGGTGAGCTCCCACCATTAGCCCCAGCTTCTGGAAACCTAGCAGTTCAAAAATATGCAAATGTGAGTAGATCACTAGGTATCGCTTTGGTGGGAAGATAAAGGCACTCCATGCAATCATGACCTTGGAGGTGTCTATGGACAACACCGGCCTTTTGGCTTGGAAATGGAGATGAGCACACACACACACTCCAAAGCCAGACAGGGGAAAATAAATCTTTACTATGGCCTGTCTGGAAGTGCCCTAAGGCAACCAAGCAAGATACCCACACCTCGCAAATCTCTCCCGAAGCCTTTCCTAACCCAGGCCATGATACCACCTGAGAGACATTCCTCCTTTGGGCATCCCAATCACTAAGAAGGCTCAAGTGGGAAAGTATGCCTTGATGACACTGATGGGTCACTTTCTCCTGCCCAAAGCTTACATTTCCAGCTGAACTGGGCAAGCCACGAAGGAGGCTTTTCCTGTCCTGTGTCCCTTTGTCCTGTGTCCCTTTGTGCTTGTCTATAAAGCTATTGTCCTCCCAACTTTGCTATATGCCTGCGAAACGTGGACTATTTACAGACATCACATGCAACTCCTGGAATGATTCCATCAGTGCTGCCTCCGGAAAATCCTGCAAATCTCTTGGGAAGACAAGCGGATAAATGTCAGCATTCTAGAAGAAGCAAAAACGACCGGCATTGAAGCAATGGTCCTCTGCCATCAACTCCACTGGACCGGCCACGTTGTCCGGATGCCTGACCACGTCTCCCAAAGCAGTTGCTCTACTCTGAACTCAAGAATGGAAAACGGAATGTTGGAGGACAGGAAAAGAGATTTAAAGATGGGCTCAAAGCCAACCTTAAAAATCTCTGGCATAGACACTGAGAACTGGGAAGCCCTGGCCCTTGAGTGCTCCAGCTGGAGGTCAGCTGTGACCAGCAGTGCTGCAGAATTTGACGAGGCACGAATGGAGGGTGAAAGAGAGAAACGTGCCACAAGGAAGGCGCGTCAAGCCAACCCTGACCGAGACCGCCTTCCACCTGGAAACCAATGCCCTCACTGTGGGATGCAGGTCAAGAATAGGGCTCCACAGCAATACTGATCATGGAAGACTATCCTACTCGTCCAATGAGGGATCACCTAAGTAAGTAAGTCCCTTTGCAAAAAACCAGGGTTTGTTATGGTTTTATATTATGTATTAATGTTTTTAAATGTTTTATGGTGTTTTGGGGCATCTAATCATTGCCATTGTAAACCATCCTGAGTCACCTGAGGGCTGAGAAGAGTGGCATACAAATACAGTAAGTAAATAAATAAATGGGCCACAAACTGGACTGGCCAATGAGGTCCTGCCCTGACTAAGCAAACCCAGCAAGGTCCCTGAGGGCCTTTCCCAACCCAGGCCTCAATGCCACCCCAAATTCCTGCAAAAAATTAGAATACAAATACCCTGCAATGGCAAAAGGCGATGGAGGACAAGGAGGGGAGGCTGCCCTTTTGTTTCCCGCCCCTTGGGGGCACCACAAAGCCTCCTCCCTCCCCCTCCAAGCCTCCCTCCATCCCTTCCAGCATCCCTGCAGGCGAGGGGTGCAGTCCCTCCCCAAAGGTGCTGAATCATTCCCGGATTCAGCCTCTCCTGGGACCCCTTCACCCCTCTTCGAATGGCAACCGCCTCCTCCTCCTCTGACAACCGCCTCTTTCCCCCGCGCTGCGGCGTCGCCTTCCTTCAACCCCCCCTCCCTCCTCCACCCTCCCAAGACGGACGAGAGAGAGAGAGGATGGGAGGATGGGAGGCGTTTCAAGGACCTGCCCGGCCTTTACTTGCCAGCACCGCGGTCCCCCCTCAGCAGCCTGCTTCTTCTCCTCTCTCCCCCTCGGCGCATCTGCCAGGGACTGACTGGGCGCGCTCTCCAGAGAAAGGAAGAGTTGGAACGAACCATTCCCGACGCCGGGAGGAGGGGGGGAAGGAGCGCCTCCTCGCGCGCGCCGCCGAGGAGGAGGCTTAGCGCGCGCCGCAACTGCCCGCTAACTCTCCCCCTCCTCCTGACGGGAGAATGGGACGTCCCGCTTCTGCGGCCTTAGCCGGCGCTCGCCTGAGGGAAGCCAAACAGATGCGGCTTAGCAACCGAAGAGGCTGGGAGCGGGAAAGGAAGGGATGGGGGAGATAGATATAGATAGATAGATAGATAGATAGATAGATAGATAGATAGATAGATAGATAGATAGATTATAGATAGATTCATAGATAGATAGATAGATAGATAGATAGATAGATAGATAGATAGATAGATAGAAACAAAACCATCGCTTGGTCGTGCTTCTTTCATCAACGAACCATAACCTCGTGGATTTGATTTACTTGCCACTAAACCGAATCCAACGGGAATTAAACGTCGCCGTCAATGTTGGCCCTTAAAGGCAGCCTCAAACTAAGATTTGAATCACCCTTGGCGGAAAGAGGGAATCCTGGAACCAGTTGGAGACCCGGGTAGTGATGATAATGATTGACAAGCTGGGATGTGTCCAGAGGAGGGCTTCTAAAATGATCAAGAGTCTGGAGAACAAGCCCTATGAGGAGTGGCTTAAAGAGCTGGGCGTGTTTAGCCTGAAGAAGAGAAGGCTGAGAGGAGACATGATAGCCATGTATACATATGTGAGGGGAAGTCACAGAGAGGAGGGAGCAAGCTTGTTTTCGGCTGCCCTGGAGACTAGGACGAGATGGAACAATGGTTTCAAACTACAAGAAAGGAGATTCCACCTGAACATTAGGAATAACTTTCTGGCTGTGAGAGCTGTTCAGCAGTGGAACTCTGGTGGAGGTTCCTTCTATGGAGGCTTTTAAGCAGAGGCTGGATGGCCATCTGTTGGGAGTGCTTTGAATGCGATTTTCCTGCTTCTTGGCAGGGGGTTGGACTGGATGGCCCACGAGATCTCTTCCAATTCTATGATTCTATGACACAAACTGCAGAGCACTAGTGATGATGCACATTCGAGGCTGTCTTTCGTGCACTTCTGTGGGACTCTCTTGCCTGCAAACCAGCCTCGAACTGCATTGACTGGTCAGTGCAGATGAGGCCTTTGTGGCAGAGCATCCTACATCCGAATTGTTTGGGACCGGGTCTTGGAGATGGGACTCCAACATCTTTATCTTTTCCATATAGGCCTGGCATGGGCCAACTTGGGCTCTCCAGCTGTTTTGGACTTCAACTCCCACCATTCCTAACAGCCTCAGACCCTTTCCTTTTCCCCCTTAGCCGCTTGAGGATACAGTGAGCACATTCACATTGAAGAAGGTTAGAATAACGGTTTAATCAGGGTTGAACAGTCTTAACTTAAATTACAGTTTTATGTAAATATTCAAAAACATTTAACTTACTGATGCCTCAATTAGTATAATTTTATTGGTATCTATTTTTATTTTTAAATTTACCAGTAGCAAATGAATTTCTCACCCTCAGCATATACTCGAGTCAATAAGTTTCCCCAGGGTTTTTTTTGTGATAAAATTAGGTGCCTTGGCTTGTATTTGGGATGGCTTATACTCGAGTATGTACATTATGTGTTTGTTTATGTTTTAGTAATACTGTAACCCACCTCGAGCCATGAAAAGAGGCGGGCAAGAAATAAAACTATTACTATCCATGTGCCTTCAAATTGCCTGTGTACTTATGTTGACCCTACTCATTATATTGGATTTTCTTAGGTGAGGAACATACAGGGGTAGTTTTTGCCAGTTCCTTCCTCTGAAATGTTTCCACAGCACGAAGTATTCCTCAGCCGCCTCCCATCCAACCAGGGTTGATCCTGCTTAGCTTCCAAGATCAGCTGGGATCTGGTGCCTTTGGTGTCTGGGCGAAAGTCTCCACCAGCTTAAGCGGCTGAGGGGGAAAAGGAAAGGGCCTGAAACTGTTAGGAATTGTGGGAATTGAACTCCAAAATACCTGGAGGGGCCAAGTTTGCCCATGCCTGGTACAGACTTTGTGCACATGGCACACATAACATCATGCAGCATTTTTGTACAGGCAATGGTGCCGTCAGAAAGCAAAATTTGTCCCTCTCTCAGCCACCCATGAAAACCATTTTGGAGTATTTTGGAATTCCAAATAAGGGACGCTGCTCAAGCTGTATTTCCTCGCTGTTCATTTGATCTATCGTTCCTCCAGGCATTCAGGGTGGCTTCATGGATGCTTTCCTGGTGGAGACGTTTGCCCAGACACCACAGGCATCAGATCCCATCTGATCTTGGAAGCTAAGCAGGGTCAACCCTGGTTAGTACTTGGATGGGAGGTTGCTGAGAAGTTCCAAGTGTTGTAGGAACATTTCAGAGGACAGGATCTGGCAAAAACCAACTTGTATGTTCCTCACCTAAGAAAATCCAATATAATGAATGGAGTCAACATAAGTTCACAGGCAACTTGAAGACACATGGATAGTAATAATAGTAATACTTTTATTTTTTGCCTGCCTCTTTTCACTACGGGTTACAGCATTACTAAAACATAAACAAACACATAAAGTATATACTCGAGTATAAAGGGATCTTGCCAAACCATCCCTTTATATTCCTCACCTTAGAAAATCCAGTGTAATAAGAGAGGTCAACAGAAGTCCACAGGCAACTTGAAGGCACACACTGAATTGGTTTCTTCTACCCTCTTTTCTTTAAATTAAAAAACCTTAAACCCCATTGATTTCAATTAGGTTCACTCCTAGGAATGTGTATATAGGATTAAGACCTTAGAACTGCTATCCTTTTCCCTCTTTTAACTGCTTTTACTATAAGAAGGTGCTACATAATATTGTTATATATTCACAATCACAAGACTTGCCATTAAACAAACTTCTCTGGTGATGGACCCCATCAAAGTGTCCACTTGCTCACTCCTCTTGCCCGGATCATTGCCTGGTGTGGTGCATATGTCAATTTGGTAGTCGTATTTTGATGCAGAAGAGTAATACAATTGTTTGAGCATTGCACTGTGGGACAAGGGTTCAGTTCCTCGTTGAGCTATGGAAACCTACTGAGTGACATTGAGTAAGTTATACACTCTCGACCCTAGAAATCCCCATGATAAGCTTAGGATTGCCATAAGTCAGAAAGGCCCTATGAGGAGCAACTTAAAGAGCTGGGCATGTTTAGCCTTCAGAAGAGAAGGCTGAGAGGAGACATGATGGCCATGTGAGGTGAAGTCATAAGGAGAAGGGAGCAAGCTTGTTTTCTGCTGCCCTGGAGACTAGGATGTGGAACAATGGCTTCAGACTACAAGAAAGGAGATTCCACCTGAACATTAGGAAGAACTTCCTGACTGTGAGAGCTGTTCAGCAGTGGAACTCTCTGCCCCGGAGTGTAGCGGAGGCTTTTAAACAGAGGCTGGATGGCCATCTTTTGGGGGTGTTTTGAATGTGATTTCCTTCTTCTTGGCAGGGGGTTGGACTGGATGGCCCATGCGGTCTCTTCCAACTCTATGATTCTGTGACTTGAGGCCACACAACTTAGTATTTTGTTCACATTTTAAATTACTTTCAAAAATAATTCCTCTGTTGAACATCTATGAGAAGTCCAGATGTTCAACACAACAAAATTATGTATTGTATTAACAATCAGACTTAATCCTCTTTATACTCCAGCCCACGATCACTCCCTATGGCTTTGGAGAAAGCAGGGAAGGACGGGAGAGAAGGAAGAATAGTGCAGAATTATTTTGACTATAGGGCTTCCAATTTTTTTTACTTCAAGGTGTTTCAAGAACACGCATGCCGTAGATTGTAGCAAGAATAAATGATTATCCCACCTCTCTATACGAAAACACTCACATTGAAACTGCCCGATCACATTGCTTAATTACACAAGCACAAATCTAGTATGTATTACATTTTAGTCAGCACGTCATTGAATCAAAACAGTCAAATATAGAAGCATTCTTAAAGAATAAAACATGTATAATGAAATCTCTTTGGAAATTTTGGAATGCAAAAAATGAAAATCAGGTTAAACATTTCTAGAAGACTGTAGTTTTTACTTTGCAGTCATATTTGTGTGACGAAGTGAACATTTGAAATGTTACTGGAGTAATATTTCTTTGGGGAATCTCTCCCCTCTGCCCTATCACTAAATTCTCCATAAACAGACTGTATGCTCCTGATGGTTAAAGTGATGTTCCCATGAGGAGAACGATCAGAAAACTATTATTCAAAATATCCCTTTTAATTCCCCATTTCCCTTCTTTTCAAAAGCAATAGTGGAGTGATTCTATTGACACTAGGATTCTACCCTGCAAATTTCACAGTAGACAATAGATAAATGTTTCCGCAATTGACAATGGTTTAATAACAAAACCGCACATGCATTTTAAACTGTTTTGTAAACTACGTCATCATGAGAAATGTTAAAGTTTTTTTTCTCTGGATAAGTCAAGTCTGAACACCTCTCTTCTAGTGAACATCTGTTCTTTGTCCATCCCAGCATTTCTCATCCTGGGGGTTGGGACCCCTGGGAGAGGGTCCCAAGGGGTTTCAGAGGGGTCACTAAAGACCATCAGGAAACATAGCTTTCTGATGGTTTTAGGAACCTCTTTGACAGGGAAGGCTGAAGATCTCATAACCTGTCATCTTCCTTTTTGGAAACAGATGGCGAATCCTCCTACCAAAAGCCCTCCTCCACTGTGATTGGCTGGCCTCTCAGCTAAGGAAGGGCTGTTTCTGAGACTCCAAGTGGGGAGGGGAGAGTAGGCATGCTCAGCGCATGGCAGCGTGGTGCACATGTGCAGACGAGGGAGAGTATGCAGGACAGGAGGGAGGCTTGCGCCAGCAAGTACCTTCAAGGCTTGGGGGTTCTGTGTGGGAAGTTTGGCCTTATTCTATCATTGGTAGTGTTCAGAATGTTCTTTGATTGTAGGTGAACTATAAATCCCAGAAAAAAACAAATCCCAAACGTCAAGGTCTATTTTACTCAAA